TCCTTGACAACCTCAATCTCTTCTCCATTGATAAGAATGCTGTTTATTGGTCCAGTGGTGAGGATTTTTGTTTTCTTTACATTGAGTTGTAATCCATACATAAGGCTGTGCTCTTTGATCTTCATCAGTAAATAGTTTACTTTATAAGATAACCATAATCTACATATGCATTTTACTGACATTGATTTTAATGTTTAAATCAACCTCATATCCTCAATTCTGGTAAATAATATTTGAAAATTCTAAACGAACTATAAGGAGCCTTGGTGGCACAGTGGGTTAAGTGTTGGGCTACAAACTACAAGATCGGTGGTTCAAACTCACAAGCCACTCTGCAGGAGAAAAATGAGGTGTCTATTGTAAAGATTTACAGTTCCCTGGTGTGGCGCTGTGGTTTAATGAGCCAGACTGCAAAGTCGGCAGTTCAAGCTCACCAGTTGCTCCTCGGAAACCCTATATAGGGTCACTATGGGTCGGAACCGACTCAACGGCACTTCACAACGACAGCAGTTCTACTTTGTCTGTAGGGTCCATATGAGTTGGAAGTGACACAATAGCAATGGGTTTAGAAAAACCCTAAAATAACTTTATTCAGTTAGTTTCTTCCATTTTAGTCCAGTATTACACTGCTTAAATACTTAAATGCTGATCAACGGAGAAAAACTCCATTGTTCTAACATCCATATATGATTTTGTTCTCTGAAGAACAATGATGGTACATATGATACTCAAAATACCGGTTAATGAACGTGATTTAAAACTTCAGCATGAATACTAGGAAAACGACATCCTAGTACTGCATCAATTGTTGTTGTTCAGTGGCGTCAAGTCGGTTCTGACTCAAAGCAATCCTGTATAGGGTTTCTGAGGAGTGGCTGGTAAGTTTGCACTACCGACTGTGTAGTTCAACCGACCTTGCTGTTCAGTGCTTTATCCTATAGCACCACAACAGGACTCCATCAACAGCACAGAATAATCTTGCAGTAAAGGCTTCAACTGAGATATAGCAATTAGAGTCATACTAAAACAACTAGCATATTCTATGACTAGTAGGAGCTCTGGTAGCGTAGTGGTTATAAGTCAGGCTGCTAACCTCAAGGTCAGCAGTTCAAAACTATCAGCCACTCCACGGGAGAAAAATGAGGCTTTCTGCTCTCGTAAAGAGTCACAGCCTTGGAAACACTATATAGGGTCGCTATGAGTCGGAACCAACTCCACGGCACATAACCACTACTACCATACTATTAGTGGAGTGCTAGCATGGTGTTGTAGGATCAGCACTGGACTGCTAAACACAAGGCTGGTGGTTCAAACCGACCAGCTGCTCCTTGGAAACTCTGTACCAGGTTGCTATGAGTCAGAACGGACTTGACGGTGCTAAAAAATAACAACATACTACTATGCCTTCAGGCTTCTGAAATTCTATTCTTAAAATAGAATACTCGTAAAATAAATAAACAACTTTTCTGAAAAGAGGAAATCAAAATTTGTATGGAAGAATGTATATAAACATGACCAACAAATAAATATCCTAGGAGCTCTGGTAGCGTAGTGGTTATGAGTTGAGCCGTTCTGCTGGAGAAAGATGAGGCTTTCTGCTCCCGTAAAGATTTACAGTCTTAGAATCCCTGTACAGGGTTGCTATGAGTTGTGACCAACTCCATGGCGATAACAACAACAACAAAGATTTACAGCCTCGGAAACCCTATGCAGGGTCACTCTGAGTCGGAAGCAACTCCATGGCACACACCACCACCATCACCACCACCACCACCAAGGTAACTGAATTATCTTAAATCCACTGCTGTCGAAGCATTTCTGATTCAGGAAACAGAACTACTTCATAGGGTTTCTGAGACCATAATCTTTACAACAGTCTGCCACATCTTTCTCCTGTGTGGCACAGTGGGTTAATGCACTGGACCGCAGGGTCGGTTTGAACCGCGGGGTCGGCAGGCAGTTCAGGCTCACCAGCAGCTCCTCGGAAATTTCATACAGGGTGGTTATGGGTCAGAGCCAACTTGATGGCACTTAACAACAAGAGTGGCTGGTGGATTTGAACCACTAATCTTGAAGTAAACAGCCAAATGTATAACTCACTACAACAAAGGGTCCTTGTACTATCTTCAAGGTACTTTTTAAAACACAACATTTCAGGGTAATTACTGTAGTATAAACTATTTCCCTTGTCATCAGGTTTAACTGCTTTGTAATAAGGAAGTCTAGTAAAACAGTAAGGTTCTGCCGGTACTTTTCCAAAAAGGACTGCCTCGCTACTCTAGATCACTGAAACCATCCCACTCCAATAGTAAACTCAGAAGTTACTCACTTAGTCTGCTAATAACAGGAAGAAGTCCACCCCAAGTGTGTAAATATTCTGCCCTGAAACCATCCAAAGAAAATAAGAGGGTAGGCGGTGTTTCAAACCTGGTTAATGAGAAAGAAAAAACATATATTTTAAGAAGAAAAGACATATATTTTATCTATAAAAGACTTTTATCTCTTTTTGGAAGAGATCCAAAGATTTTCCACTGAGGTCAGTCTACAAAGTAAACTTAAAAACTCAACAAGCATACTCATAAAGGCTATTTTAAATGAATTTATATATCACATGTATGTTTTTATATGTATATACATATTTCCAAATAGTACTAGTAAGCATGCAGACCACTGTGATAGTCATGGTTCCTGCCATTCCAAAAATCAAACCAATGTATTGTGCTACTAAATTGGAGTAATAGTGTTTCTATGATTCACAGATAAACAAATGTTAATAAACAGCATTGTCTAAATTATGTTTACATTTCCATAAGCTTCTTTTAAACAAGCAGTTTCTTATATCAATTGTCTTAGTGTAATAAATGGCATTACATAGCTTATAAATTATAGAAAATATTTAGTTTAAGTTAATACATTTAAAAGATATTAATATGTAGTAGGGAAGTAGAAGAGACAGTTACTAAAATCACATTTAAATACATAAACAGAGAAATGATCCAAAGCTACGAATGAAACCAAAATAAGGGTTCACACATACATAAATACCCACAATAATTAATGTGTGTGCTATAGAAATCCAGAGATGTAAACCTCCCCCACAAAAAAAGTATGACCACGAATTCAACAAAAGAAAAGAGAGATGGAGACAAATGCTGTACAGCTACACCAAAGCAATCATGTTCAGAAATTCTGCAGCTTTGAGTGATAATGGTAGATGGTAGGAACGTCATACATCACTAGATAACTGTGAGAAAACTTTCTGTTGAACGTTTATTAGATCATTTAAAATATGAATGTAAACATTTTCTTTGTCTTTTCAAACATACCTCCTCCCTGTCTTATCCTCACACAAACACAAAAGCAACCCAACAAAAGTGAGAAAATGTTTACGTAGTTTCCACTAAGTATTGGTAACACAGAGCTCTGGTGTGGCACTGTTGGCTAATGCGATGGACAGCAAAGTCGGTTTGAACTGCAATATCAACAGTTGAAGCTCACCAGCTGCTGCTCAGAAACCCTACACAGGGTCACTATGAATCAGAACCGAATCAACGGCACTTAACAACAACAACATTGGTAATATAGTTCATTTGAGAGACTCCACAAAAGTAGCTCTGCATATAGTCTCATTTTGTATAAATTTATTTCTATTCAGTCAAGGGCAGATATGAATGTACATCAGGTGCATATATTGATACAACAATTTCAATTTCTAAATCATCTTCTTGAAAAAAGAGGAAGAATTAAATTGCCCCTATATACTAACTCTGGTAGAGGAGTGGTTATGAATCGGGCTGCGAACCGCAAGGTCAGCAGTTCAAAACTATCAGCTGTTCCGCGGGAGAAAGATGAGGCTTTCTACTCTCGTAAAGATTTACAGCCTCGGAAACCCTGTTCAGGGTCGCTATGGGTCAGAACCGACTGCATGGCACATAACCACAACCACCATATACTAACTGCAAAAAAAAAAAAAAGTTTCAATGTTTAGAATAAAAAGAAAGATTAAAAATTCACTTGGTCTAAGATTTCCAATAAATTTCACACTTCAAAGACAGTTTAGTCTACATGAGAAGTCATCCTTGAGAAAGGCTCTTCTGTTTTCCTTTTTTTTCATTTGGATTTAGCTGTTGCTGTTAGTGTTGTTTTATACCAAAAATAGACTCTACCATCCCAAAAGGGAAAAAAAAGGTAGATATTTTATATAGTTTAGTAAAATTAAATAAACAAAATAAACTAAAATATAGCTTTGATTTTTCTTATAGTTTAGAATTTTTTTATTTTAAAGAAGAAAATATACATTTCTGAAGCTTAATAATTCAAATGATCTGATGTAGTAGATTTCTGATGGAACAAAGATACGAGGACTTTTATATAAGGGGGCTTCAAAAAGTTTATGGAAAAACAGAATTAAAAGATGATGGGATTTTCCACAAACGTTTTGAAGGTCCCTCATATAAATTCCTATACTTCAGTTTAAGTACTGTGCAAACCACTTTATATGGAAGAAAAAAAATGCAAGTTATGCAACATTCATTCACAAATATTTTGGTTACCCAAAATAATTTTAACAAATGAACCAAAATATAAAGTAGTTTTAATGTGCTGCAAGTTCATGTTTCATACTACAAAGGTAAATTCCCTACTTTCTTTATAGAAAGAAAAATATAAACACATTCACCTATACATACTCATGATATTAAATACTAAAAATTCATGATCTCTCTTTTTCCTATTAGCTTCCAAAGTTGGAAACTATACCATAATCATCTCCATAGAATCAGCACCATATACAAACCCGACTAAAAATAAGGATTTATGAACCAGTGATTGGTTATCACCTTCTCACTTTGATAGGAAAAACCAAAACTATTTCTTATAAAATTAGTATCTTCAAATATCATCTTACCCTGCTGGACACTGTGGTTCATTAAGATTTTCACACGATTGTTCTGCCCAAGTTTTCTCACCTAAAATGTTTTCAAGAAATAAAACAACTTGAGCACACACACCACCAATTCAGATGCTTGTGAAACACATTCAGACACATTCCAAAGACCAAATGTGTTATTAGACAAATAGATAACACTGGACATGACATTAGGGAAAAATAACAATGGGAGCTATTTTGTTTCAAAGTAATAGTTGATGTCACGGAGAAACAAATGAGTGTATAATTTTAAGACTGAAGCAGACTACTGTATTTGTTAGACCTAGAAAGCATTTCTTCCATATTCAAAACCTTTCAACCAAAATTTACAACCTTCTTCCTATCTACCTAGCAAAATCTTCTGACGTTAAATCCTTGATGTTTTCGTTCCCCCTCATATATAACAAAGTCTGTCAATGAATTTCAAGGAACTCTATAGAGCTGGACAAGACACCATGATAGCACCAGCTTACAGAATATCCCATAACCTTTTGAGGTAATTTCACATCCACTCTCTCAATGTATAGCAGGTATGGTCCTCATTTACAATGAGGAGAAGGTGTCCTGGTGTGGCACTGAAGGATAAGCCCTAGACCAAGAGGTTGGTTTGAACCTCAATGTCGGCAGTTCAAACTCTCCAGCGACTCTTCACAAACCCTACACTGGGTAGTGATGAGTGAAAATCAACTCAAAGGCACTTAACAACAACATGATATAAAAGTCAGCCAGGGCTGGAAAGTGGTATTCCCACAAATACAGCATCAAATATGCAGCTAAAAGTAAAACAGTCTGAGGAGTAGTGGGGAGAGAGTAACTGATTACACAGCTAAGACACTAGTGGCCATGTGTAGATATTAATTATTAGGTTAGGAGATGTGGGTACAAGGTTAATTGCACCCATCTCTCAACTCATGTCTTTGTTTGAAATTTTCTGTAATCAAAAACTTTAAAAGTATATTTCTTGACTAGTGGATTTGGCCAATGAACATGAGTCCTAATATAAACAATGCAGAGAATGCCACAGCCCAGGAAGACGCCAGGCTGCTGTTGACCCGGATGAACAACGGAGACTTGACCTCGACACACGGAGCCGTAGTTGATGCAGCAGTCGCCTTTGTCCCTGCAGTCGTCTGAACAGGAGCAGAGGTTTCTCGACAACCTCTTCTCACCACACCTGAATTTGCTGCAATTCCATATGTGTTCTAGAAACAAACACCAAACAAAATCCATCTTACGGTTCACATTTAACACAGAAACGCTGCCCTCATGGAGCGTAAACCCTGAAACAATGACAACATCATAACTCCTAATTACTCCTAGAATCTGTCACTATACAGGTCAGTACACACCAACAGATACAGACCATCAATTGGTATTACTTCACTAAATCCCAGAATTCCATGATTTTAAAACTTGGACACATATAATTATTGGTTTGTACTTCATATGTCGATCTTGGCTTCTCCCACTGAACATTTTTAGGGTTACAAAAATTCAATCTAAAACAAACTCATTCAATTTAAATATTATTGCAGGTCATATGCACAAAAGTCCAGAGCAAATATTTTAATTTTTTAAAAAAGTTTATGTGGATATCTCAGAACTCTTGCCTATAATCAACGTGAGTCCATTCAGGCCCACGGTGACCCCATGTGTATCAGAGTAGAACTGAGGTCAATGGCTGATTTTCAGAAGGTCTTCCTTTGGAGGTATCTCTGCACAGAAATGCCGACCAACCTTTTTGTTAGCAACTTAGTACACTGACTATTTCACCCAAAGCATCCATAATTGGTATAAAAAGACTAATAAAAACATTCCTGCATATCAAGCAGCTTTTTAGAATTTTGTTCAAATTCAAATTAAAATATCAAGGCTTTCAGTATATACAAGTATTACAAAGAGGCACAGTTCTGTTATATATTAAATGTTTAATGAAGGCAAAATATTTGATATTCTCTAAGCAACTATTTGAAATACAAAGACCATGGTCAAAATATGTGTGAATGTTAATTTAAAAAAAACAAAACTCAAGTGAATTTTTCACTAAATCACATGCCTAAAATTAGTTGCAGTATTTTCCTACAACCTTTTGCCAATGGCTATGACTCCTTCTGCTTCCATGACCGTCTTACCTGGTTCTATACATGTTTCCTGATAATCTAGACAGCAGTTTCCAAGTTCAACGCAGGGAGCATCACAGCGACAGTTCCCAAATGTTCTCTCAAAACAGCGACCTTTGCAACTTTTAACTGTAAATATTGAGCAGTCAGTTAGATGTTTCTAATCATTATACACCTAGAATGCAATCACCAATGAATACATCTAGGTTAGCTGTAGAATGGGTCCAAATTCTGCTTTAGAGAACACAGATGGAGCAATCAAGTGACCCCCCTCCTCCTACACACACACACACACATACACGTCAGTTCACATTCATATTCAGCCTGGCATCTTCAGAACAGCATTTCCTAACTGCCCATCTATTTCCCTTCTTTTATATCTTATAAAATTGTGCCTTTCCCCTCATCAGTTAATTCTTTGTAACTAAAAATTTTTAATAGCTCTGTTTCACATCTTTTGCTGATAAATGCCAACAAATCGGTTCCAACTCATGGCAATCCTGTTTAGAGTTTCTGAATGAGTGGAGCGTGGGTTTGAACTGCCGACCTTACGGTTCAGTGCATTATCCATCAGTGCTACACTGGGACTATAAAATTCCTATGAACACAGACCTCATGTGAACTTTGCCTGGTATACCATATGACTAGCACCCAGCAAGATACTTGGCCTACAGCTGGTACTTGATACTTTGTGTTAAATGGATAAATGGTAGTAGATAAAGAAGGAAAATAAATTTCACTAAAAACACAATTTTTACTGTTTCAACTCTTCACTGCATAGCTTGAATAAACTAGGCTTTTATTATTAGAAAATCAGGCTTGTGAAGAAGAAAAAAAAAAAAATCCACACCTGAAGTTCAACAGACAAAGGAAAAAGGAGTAATCTTAGTTCTTCACGTTAATGGTCTCCTGACCCAATAAAATGTAGTTGCTGTTGCTAAGTGCCATGGAGTTGGGTCCAATTCATAGCGACTTGTATAGGGTTTCCAAGGAGCAGTTGATGGGTTTGAACTGCCAACCTTGTGGTTAGCAATACAGTGCTTATCCTACAGTGCCACACCAGGGCTCCTACCCAATAAAATACTGCTATGGAATTTAACTCTCACCTGGCATTGGGAAATCAGACAAATATAATAATAACAAGGAGTGACAAATAAGAATTTCTAGAGTCAGAAATGCTAACTTTCTCAACCCAAGGGGAACAATCTAATAGAATAACAGCTTTTATTTGGAACTCAGACCAGGTAACTTTATAAACTAGTTACTGTGCATATATATGGAGTCCTGGTGTGGTGCTGTGGTTAATGTGCCAGACTGCAAAGTCGTTTGAACTGCAAGGTCGGTGGTTAAAGCTCACCAGCTGCTTCCTGGAAACCCTTTACAGGGTCACAATTGACACCATGGCACTTAACAGCAACAACATGCATAAATATGCTAGATTTAAATTTAAAGAGACAATTTTTAAGCCTCCAATTTTATTTCCTTAAGTATCAATTTGAACTCAGATGAGTTCTTTCATTCCACAAGATGACATAGGTGAGTGCTAAAGTTTGTGGTTTATTCACTTTATCTAACTCTGACACATTGGCTCTGAATAGATTTCTGAAAAAACACATAAAACTACTGTTTCAATCACTTTTACAATTATAGCTTCACAATCACCAAGAATGTTTAGTGACGCATATTACAATGATGTTGTTGTTAAGTGCTGTCGAGTCGTTTCCAACTCGTAGCAACTGTGTATACGGTTTCCATGGAGCAGCTGGTGAGTTTGAAATGCTGACCTTTGGTTTGCAGTCGAATAGTTAAAAAGGAGAAGGATTTGTTGAATTTTCAAATTAATTTCCTAGACATGCCACCAGTGACATCACTCAACAAAAACTATCTCAGAGTAAAAATAATGGTCAATACAATTCACTGATTGAAACTTTTGTTATTTCTACTATTTCATTGGACTCCTGGTGTGGTGCTGTAGGATAAGCAAAGAATCAGAAGTTGAAACCCACCAGGTGCTCCGCAGAAACCCTAAACAGGGTCACTGTTAAGTGGGAACCGACTTAAAGGCACTTATTAGCAAGAACAATTATCTCATCAGTGCTGGACAGACTTCTGGACTCAGTAGAAAATTTAAAATGTCTGTAACAGTTAATAAAATCAATACTGCTTTGAAAATATCAATGTCCACAATTCAAAAAAGGTGCTCTGGTAAGCGTAATGGTTACAAATCGGGCTGCTAATCTCACGGTCAGCAGTTCGAAACTACCAGCTGTTCCATGGGAGAAAGATGAGGCTTTCTGCTCCCGTAAAGATTTAAAAGCTGGATAGTGAATAAGGAAGACCGTAGAAGAATTGATTCCTTTGAATTGTGGTGTTGGAAGAGAATACTGAAAGTGCCATGGGCTGCCAAAAGAACCAAGAGATCCATTTTGGAAGAAGTGCAGTCCGAGTGCTCCTTGGAGGCCAAGATGGCCAAACTTCGTCTCTCATACTTTGGACATATTGTCAGGAGGGAATAGCTGCTGGAGAAGGATATCATGTTTGATAAGATGGAGGGTCAGAGAAAAAGAGGAAGACCCCCAGCGACTTGGATTGGCCAGGTGGCAGCATCGATGGACTCAAGTGTGGCAACAGTAGTGAGGTTGGCCCAGGATCGGACATTGTTTTGTTCTGCTGCGCATAAGGTCGCTATGTGTCGGTGCCGACTTGATGGCACCTAACAACAACAACAACAACAAAAGATTTACAGCCTCAGAAACCCTGTACAGGGTCTCTATGAGTCGGAACTGACTCCACAGCATATAACAACAACAACAGCAATAATTCAAAAAGCCTTCCAAGCATTTAATGATGAGTTTCTGGTTGCGCAGAGATGCTAACGGGTCACCTAGTAACCTCCAGGTCTGTGTCTGCAATTAACTCCTTGGGGAAAAGGAGTGTCCCTGAAGAGCCCTGAAGGGAGTAGGGAAAGAGGTTCCAGGAACAGAGCTCTAGGACCCACAGGCCACACATTTATTTGTTTGTGCTTAATTTAATTCAGAGAATTAATTCGTTTGTTATGGTCCCATCTCCTAGTTTTGGAATGAAGTTTTTCAAGTAAATAACATGCTACATGGTTAAAACAATACAATAGCTATCAGTTGAGGTCAAGTTGATTCCGTCTCATGGTGACCATAAGGGTCAGAGTAGAACTGTGTTCTGTACAGTTCTTCAATGGCTGATTTTTCAGGAGTAGATTGGCAAGCCTTTCTTCCGAAATGTCTCTGGGTGGACGCAAACTTTCAACCTTTCAGTTAGCAGTTGAGCACATTAACCATTTACATATGCGCCACCTAGGACTCCTAACACAAGAGTTACTTGAAGTATAGGAAAACTCATGTCTATGTCAAATTTGCGATATATGTGTGGAGTCCCCACAGGTCTACTGGATGAGAGTATCTCAGTCCCATTCTGGAGAAGGCTGAGTATCAGCACACACAATCCCCACTCCACACACTGACACACGCATACCCAACCAACACCAAACCAAACCCACAGCTGCTGAGTGGATTCCAACTCAAAGCGACTCCTAGGCCAGACCAGAATTGCCCCCACACGGTTTCCAAGGCTGCAAATCTTTACAGAAGCAAGCTGCCACACATTTTTCCCTTCCAACAGCTGATAGATTCAAACTGCCAACCTTTATGTTCGCAGTCAAGTGTTTAACAACTGTGCCACCAGGGCTCCCACCTTCCTACTATGTTGTTGTTGTTGTTGAGTGCCATTGAGTCGGTTCTGACCCACAGCGACCTTCTATGGGGTTTCCGAGGAGCAGCTGGTGAGCTTGAACCCTGGACCCTGCAGTTCAAATGGCTTTGCAGACTGGCGCATTAACCAACAGCGCCACACCAGGACTCCCCTTCCTACTATAAACTATATTAATTACCTTCTTTGGCACAGCTTGGTTTCAACCCAAATATACATCCAAGGATGGTTGTTAACACACAGACAGACAATATCTGTAGAGAAAAAAAAGAAAAGATAAAGCTTTAAAATTGTGATTTCTTCAAATATTTCGAAACTCACTGGAGCTTCTATTTATTAACCTGGATTTGAGTCACATAGGTGTGTGTACTTTGTGAAAATTCTTATTCTGTACATTTATAATTTTATATATATGTATTATTTTTCAATAAAAAGTTGAATGAAATGTTAGTAAATGATTGTATACCATCCAAAGTTAATTAAGGTTGTAGAATTTTCCCAGCTTAACATGAATGAATCAGTCAAAGAAACTATAAAAAATTAAAGAAGGGAGAGAGGAAAAATCTAGTGATTCAATTTCCTATTTGCTAAATCACTTAAGGCAATGAGAATATTTTTTTCATATAATATTTTACATAAGTGTAACTATATAAAGCTGAACAGGAATACCATATATAACTAGATCCCAAGTCCCAATTTTACTATAAACTGTTGTGTAATAGGGGCGTGTCACATAAGCTTTCTAGGCATCAGTTACAGTTACTATAAAACTGAAGAGGTGGATTACATAGCTCTCTAAAGATCTTTCCAGTGCTAACATTTTGCAAATTTCTTATTCCCTACATTTCTGGCTTTCTGCCTTTTAAGATCTGATTAAGTATTTTCCTCTACCCGTAGGTGAGTATATCATGCAACTGCTAAAAGAATAACTCAAGAAGGATAAACCATAAAACAATACTCATCTTTTTTTTTTTTTTTTTTTTTTTTTAGTTGTATGAATGAAGCTTTCTTTATAGCCCTCAGGAATGTCACTTCCCAGGACAATTCAACAACATATGCACTGAGTGCCAACTATGCCGGAAGACGTTGAAGGAAGTGAGTCAGATATACCATAGGGAGCTTTTATTTTTGTGGGAAACGGAAAACAGAGCAGTTTGCAGGATTCCCATCGGTAGGCACCAGCAAGTCCTTGTGGTACTAAAGGCTAAGCACCGGACAAGGTCGACAGTTCAAACCCACCAGCTGCTCTGCAGGAGAAATATGAGGTTTTCTGCACTTGTAAAGATTTACAGCCTTGAAAACTGTACACAATGCGTCAGCAGTGGGTTTGGTTTAGGCTTAGGAAGCAGTTACAAAGTGGTGTTTAAAGGAAGGAAAATGTGTCCCAGGTTGTGGTGGTTAGGAAAGGGAGATTAGAAAGCATGTGATAAAGAAAGCCTTTGGCCATGCTGTTGGGGGAAGAAAAGAGAGCAGAGTTTCAGGAGGAAGGACAGAATAAAGAGACCCCAGAAGGAAGGCAAATAGAAGGGTGCTGGGTGAATAGCGAACAGCCTATGTGGCGCTGTGGGTTAAGATGCTGAACGGCAATGTCTGTTTGGACCTCAAGGTCAGAGGTTCAAGCTCACCAGCTCTCCTCAGAAACCCTATGCAGGGTTGTTATGAGTCGTAACTGACCAACTTGACGACACTTAACAATTTTGGCTAGAACAAAGCAAATGCCAAGGGGAATGGATACAGGATGAAAGTATGGACCAGGAGGCCAGATGAAGAGAGACGTCCACTATCATACCCCTTCTGTGTCCATTGCATAGCTTGGCATGGAGAGTGTTGAAAATGACATAACATACTCCCTGCAAGTAGAAGACCTGAAAGTTCTAAAGTGGTCATCACAGTTAATCTTTTACCATTCAGTGAAAATCACACAACCAGAACTTTATTGACTTAAAATTGCTTAACAGAAGCAAACAGAAGTTTGACAGCAAAAGGAATCATTTTTCATCTATAATCACATTCATTAAAAAATGAAATTTAGAATATCTACTAATTCATTACAAAACACCCAATGAGAACCATTTTTAGTAGAAAATTTCTCTTCACCAATTTTCAGAGCTATGAAACTTTTTGTGAAATAATTCGGATTTTCTTCTCAAGGTAGTCAAGAAATGTCAAAATCCACTACCCATTTTCATCTCTGTAACAATTTAGGTATATGTCATATTGTGATATTCTCTTTGAAACTATAAAGCAATGTACCTTAGAAAACATGCAGCTAGGAGACATGAGTAAAACCAAAGTTTTTAGACTATTTTGTCTCCATGTTAAAAGTACTTAGGATTTTCTGCTTTTTAGTCAGAATCCCCAAACCATTCAATAGATTTTTTTTCTTAGACATTTAGTGGGTTAAAATAAATAGACAAAAATAAATGGTCAAACTATTTTTTTCTCACCAATTCTCTCAAATACTGTGACATTAAAGTTATGTGCATTGTTCTTTATCAAACATTCATTCAAATGGGTGTCTGTTGTGTGCAGTTCCCGGCTGGAGGCCAGAGATACACAAGAAGCAACTTCTGTCCTTAGAGAGCAGAAAAAGGGGCAGGCGTGACAACAAACGTTTTCAATGTAGTCCAAGAGCTGTAGTGGTTACGAATCGGTCAGCAGTTCAATTTACCAGCTGTTCCGCAGAAGAAAGATGAAGCTTTCTGCTCCTGAAAAGATTTACAGACTCGGAAACCCTGTCGGTATGAGTCGGAATTGACTCCACAGCACATAACTACCACCAACCAAGAACTACAGTAGCGTTGTTGTTAAGTGACATCAAGTGGGTTCGGCTCATAGCAACACCATATAGGATTTTCAAGGAGCATCTGGTGGGTTTGAACTACTGACCTCGTGGTTCACAGCCTGGTGCTTATCTTTCAGTGCCACACCAGGAGTCCAAAGAGGTACAACAGACATTCTTCTGCTCTCCCCTGTGCTGTTAGCATGTTGACAGTTTTTTACACATGAAAGTTACAATAGAAATATGTTAACTCCCTCCCCGCCCAAAAAAAATCAACATGATAACAGTGCATTATAGAGCAGGAAAAAGGGAATGGCTGCAAAAGGCTTCACAAGGCAACAAAGGGGAAGCATTTCCTACAAGATATCTGTGGTAAAAGAGAATGCCCCCTCTCCATCAATAAGCACTGTATGAGGGCACTTCACAAAGTTCACAGAAAAACTTCATTATCTTTTAATTCCATTTTTCCATGAACTTTTGGAAGACCCCCTCATGATCTGTGGCAATATGAAAAACAAAACACAGTTTGAAAAAAAGATTTTGGAAGAAAAATCTGGGAGAACAATGGGGCTTGAATTCTTCCTCCAATCTCAAGCTGTAATTAACGAAACAGATGATCCTAGGACCATCAAGAAGGAAGAGAATGAATGGAGCATAAGCTTCCCACCTAGAAAAGTGGTGCCAACAGAGAAGGTGGCAGAGGCAGTGGGATGGAGAGACAGAGCAGTTACAGAGAAGGTGGCAGAGGCAGTGGGATGAGAGACAGAGCAGTGGCAGGCAGGCTTTATGTCCATGGACATAAAGTAAGGCTGTGTACCAATGGGCAGGAGGCTGGATGGAAGAATGTGCCCTTTGGACATTTAAATGAATGTATATTTTAAATTTTGTTTTCTTTTTATGTGTTTATCAAATATCTTTTCTTTGTTCATTTGTTAAATATAATAAGTAAATTGGGGAAAAACACACACACACACATACACAAAAAAAGATTTTGTAGTGAAATCCCTAGTCTGAGAATTTAGAATTTAATAAGGGCAACAACTCCCCTCAAATAATACCATTTGCTGCTGAGAATAGGTGCGAAATAGTGAGAGGCAACCTAGTATTGAGCCACTTAGTGTTTACAATAAAGGCAAAGGTGTTTTGCATAATTTATTTAAATATTATTTATTTATTTTAATTTCAATCTGGGGAAAAAGAAAATAACAACAACAGGGAGATAAGAGAATAATAGCCGGCACTTCTAACTTGCCAAACTCCACACACTGGTTGGTATAGCAAAGCAGTGCTAACAAAAATATCTCCTAGGTAGAGGAAGTGGTTGGCAAACACACAGAGAAGGTGTGTGTTATTTGCACAAAAATATGGTAAGTGGTAATCTATGAAAGAACAGACTAGAAGAGAGGGGTCCTAGTGTGGCGCTGTAGGATAAGCACCGCGAGATCAGCAGTCCTAGCCCACTCCTTAGAAACCCTATACAGAGTCACTCATTGTGAGTCGGAATCAACTCAAAGTCACTTAACAACAAGGGAGGAAGTGAAGTTACTGAAAGAGGACCGGGGTCTCAGGGGAAGCTACTGAGACATTTAAACATGGCAATGATACGGCTAAGGTAAGTTTTAAACTCTAGAACAATCCTTTTGGCAACGTTGCAGAAGGCTGTTGCATGAATCCAAGTGAGAAATGAGTGCTTCTATTTGCCTGCCTCACTGATCTCCTTGGAGCTTCTCCATGCTTCTTTGGGTCTTTCCACACCCCCAAACATGGCAATTCTGACCACAGTTCCATTAGATTCATTTATTTGTCTGTATCTCATGCGACTGAGTTCCAGGGAGAAATGATTTACTCATCTCTTAAGTCTCCATGTCTAACACACCAAAAAAAAAAACCCCGCAAACCCAAAGCTAACAAATTGATTTCTACAGGAATAGAAGTACTCCACAGGGTTTCCGAGGTTGTAAATATTTACTGTTGCTATTGCTGTTAAGTGCTGTAGAGTTGGTTCTGATTCACAGTGACCCTGTACAAGGTTTCCAAAGAGCAGCTGGTAGGTTTGAACTGCCAACGTTGTGGTTCACAGTCCAGTGCTGATCTTATGGTGCCACCCAGGAGGTTGTAAATATTTGTTCCCAGGTTGTCAATATTTATAGGAGTCCTGGTGTGGTGCTGTAGGATAAGCATTGGACCACAAAGTCAACTTGAACTGCAAAGTCAGTGATTCAGAAATCCTCACGGTTGCTATGAGTCAGAACAGGCTTGATGGCACTTAATAAGTGTTTATAGAAGTGGGCTGCCACATTGTTCTTGATGGCACTTAACAAGTGTTTATAGAAGTGGACTGCCACATTGTTCTTGATGGCACTTAACAAGTGTTTATAGAAGTGGATTGCCACATTGTTCTCCCGCAAAGGGACTGGTGGGCTTGAGCCTGACCTTTGGGTTAGCAGCTGAGTGCTTTAACCATTGTGACAT